ACACCACTGGGGGTGCGCACGGGGTGGTCCCTGAGTGCGGCCGCTATGCGTGACGGTCGTCCTTGCCCCAGCAGGCGTGGAGTTTTCTCGACACCGCCGGGGGTGCGCACGGGGTGGTCCCTGAGCGCGGCCGCTATCCGTGACGGTCGTCCAGGGCACAGCAGGCGTGGCGTTTTCGCGACACCACAAGGGGTGCGCATGCGGTGGTCCCTGAGCGCGGCCGCTATCCGTGACGGTCGTCCAGGACACAGCAGAAGTGGAGTTTTCTCGGCACCGCGGGGGGTGCGCACAGGGTGGTCCCTGAGCGCGGCCGCTATCTGCGACGGTCGTCCAAGGCACAGCAGGCGTGGTGTTTTCTCGACACCGAAGAGGGTGCGCACAGGGTGGTCCCTGAGCGCGGGAAATCACTGCCGATGGGAAGAGACAGAGGAGGAGGACGAAGACTGAAGGAGGCGGCGGAAAGGGAAAGCGACGCCTGGCGGTCGGACGCGCGGCCCCCGCTCCTGGACCGACGGGACGGTGGCGTGCCTCCTCAACGCCTGCACCACCAGCTCGATGCCCGCGGCGTTGGCGATCTGCGGGGCAGGACCAGGCAAGGGGGTGGGGGGGGGGCGAGGAGGGCTTGGGGAGGAGAGGGCGAAGCAAGGCGGCGCGGGGCCTTCGGGTCCGCCAGGGTGGGGAAGGCGTTTGGGGCGCCCCCCTGCCCTGACCCCGAGGACTTGCCCCGTAGCAGGCGGCGAGTCCTGCGCTCTTTGCTCAAGGGCAAGCATCCCAAGTCTGGTAAGTCTGTCGATGATGACGGCAGACATGGATAGGGTTTAACTGTCTGCTCGAGCTTTGTGCCTGTAAGCAGGCGATGTTTCTCAGTCGTCGTCTCCGTAGCCTCCTCCTCCTCCTCCTCCTCCTCCTCCTCCTCCTCCTCCTCCTCTTCCTCCTCCTCCTCCTCCGCCTCCTCCTCCTCCTCCTCCGCCACCGCGCCACATGCCAGCATCCTCTCGAAAAGGGCGCGGGGGGGGGCTGGGCGGGCGCGATCCTCCCACACGCACGAGGGCGCGGCAGCAAAAGCAACCCACCAGGCAGTCCTGGAAGGGTGTATGGAGCGGCCCTGTGCTGCGCATCGTGAGCGCCTTCCAGCGGCACTTGATGGGCCACCCCCGTCGCTCCGCAGCTGGACCCGCGAGGGAGGTCGACCGGAGGAGGGGAGGAGGAGGGGAGGAGGAGGAGGAGGAGGAGGAGGAGGAGGAGGAGGAGGAGGAGGGGGAGGGGCAGGGCTCTTACCTCTGCGAGCCCGAGGCGCCATGAGGAGGGGAGCCGCCTGAGCGTGAGGGGCTTCTAGCTTGCCAGGCACCTCTTCTTTTCAAAAAGATCCGTATTCACCTACTCTGGAGTACGTGCCCACCCCCCTCGTACGGCCACGTCAGATCTGAGGGCAGTGAGCAGAATCACGACGGGAGGGTTGCAGAGGTTACGCGGACGCCTGCCGCAGGAGAATGTGCACACGTTGCTCGTCAAGGGAGTACCTCGCACCCAGGCGGAGGAGGAGGAGGAGGAGGAGGAAGAGGAGGAGGAGGAGGAGGAGGAGGAGGGGGAGGAGGAGGAGGAGGAGGAGGAGGAGGAGGCGTTGGACGGACACACAGTTGTCACCCTGTGGCTGCGCAGAGCGCTGCGTCGTGGAACAACAAACAAAAACCCACGGCGGGCCCTCGGCTCCTGGCGCTGCGGCGTCCCCACCACGGGGCGGCTCGCCCTGCTCCGGGCCTGCAGGACCCTCAAAGATCGATCGGGCTCGAGCAGCGGCGAAGAAAGGACGCGGCCCAGGGCTCCGATGGCGATGTCGTGCGATGCTTTTTTTTCGTGTGCCACGTCGGATCTTTTGGGGGGGCCGTGCTCGGCCTCCCCGTCAAAAACGAGGGGCGGAAGACCGGTTCCCAGGACGTGGCCGCGAGCTCCAGGGACCGCGTATGGGGATCGGACGTCTGGGGCTGCGGGGTCCTCCCAAGGTGTCCACGGTTCGGTGGGTCCGGTCTGGCCTCGTCGCGATCGGCTGCGTCCGGCCACGTCGCGGTCCGGTCGGTTGATGTTGTCAGCCAGGACTCGCTTGTACGCCTTTTCGGCCCAGCGCTGCTTGAACAAAAGAAGGCGAAACGCCAGGCAAGCAAACCTGTTTAACACGGGCACGGAAAACGCATGCGTTTGCAGAGCGCAAGGAATCGGTGGCTGATTCGTTGTTCCTTAGATTCGTTCCCACGTTCACCTCGTTCTTATCTTATCACATCATGTTTCCCTTACCCCTGCTCTCTTAACTGTAATGTCGCGTTGTGGCCCTTTGTCGTGTTCTGGGCTTCGGGGTGAGCCTCTCGGGGCACTCTTGGGCCCTCCTTGGGCCGTCCATTGGAGCTCTCTTGGGCCGTCTTGGGACCCTCGTGGGCTGTCTTGAAGCCCTTCTGGGAGCCACTCACCTCTCACATCCTCCCGCTTCAGACTGCTGGTGTTAAGGCTCTGGCACGACATACAACAGTCGAGCAAACCTGGGGATAACAAATGAACATGGCATTTCCAGGTCTTCTTGTGCTAAGGCTTTGGTGCGACATACAAACATCAAGCAAACAACTTTGGGAAAATCAGTGAACATGGCATTTCCGGGCCTTCCTGTGGGTCCTTTTGGGGCTCTTTTGGGCCGTCTTGGGGCTCTCTTTGGCCGCCCTGGGGCCCTCTTGGGCCGTCTGGGGGGGGGCTAGGGCCGTCGTAGGGACCTCTCGGGGCCCTCCAGGACCCCTTTGGGAACCTCCTGTGGCCCTCTTGGGGCTCGATTTGGAAACATTTTGAGGCCCTCAGGGGCCTCTCTGGGGCCGCCTTGGGGCTCTCTTGGGCCATCTTGGGGGCCTCTTGGGCCGTCTTGGAGCGGTCTTCGGGGCCTCTTGGGCCGTCTTGGACGTTGTGATGACCGAAGATGCGAATGTGCATACGTTTTCCTCCAGGAATGGGACGATGTTTGCCTTTTGGAGCTCCTCTGGGGGGCCTCTTGGAGTGTCTTGAGGACCTCATTGGCCGTCCTGAGAACATATTGGGCCCAGTTGGAGCGGCCTTGGGCCGTCTTCAAACCTTCGTGGGACTCCAGGAGGCCGCCGTGGAATTATATGAAGTCGTCTAGGGAGCGTCTTGAGCCGTCTTGGGGGTCTCTTGGGCGCTCCTGGGGCTGACGTGGGCCGTCTTGGACCGAAAATGACAAATCTTTGGGGCCATTTGACCTCTTGGGGGCCTCTTAGGGGCCTCTTGGGGCCTCCATGGGGCCTCTTGGGGCCGAGGGCCCGACAAGTCCGTTCGGGTACCCCGTCTGGGCCCCCTCTTGGAACCGTCTTGGGGGCCTCTTGGGCCGTCTTGGAGACCTCTTGGGCCGTCTTGGGGCCGTCTGGCAGCCCTTTCCGGCAGTCTTGGGGCCGTCTTGGGGGACTCTGGGGCCGTCTTGGGGCGATCTGAGGGGCCTCTGGGGCCGTCTTGGAGCGTCGGGGAGCCGACAAGACGAGAACCCCAAAGACTTTTCAAAAAACCATTAGGGAATCGATGATGTTTGCCTCTCTTGGCTTCTTGGGGGGCCTCTTGGAAACCTCGGCCCCGTGTCCAGAGACAGCCGCGGGGGCCTTCATTCCGAGCGCTCCCAAGGCCCCCCTTCTCGGGATTGCCCAGTGCCCCCTGCTCCAGCGACACATGCGCACACGTAGCTGGCGGGCTTCGGCCGACGTCGCGAGGGAGACGAGGAGGGGGGCGGTAGGGGAGGAGGGACTGGGATGGAGGGTGAGGGGTCGGAAGGGGACAAGGATGGAGAACTGCGAAGGGGGACGGGCAAGGGGACGAGGCGGAGAGATGAGGGGAGGGAGAATGGGGGACGGGTGGCTGCCAGAGTTGCTCGAGGCCCAGGAGCAGAGGAACCCGCGTGAAGGAGAGGTAACGAGAGGAAGGAGGATGGGGGGGGGAGGCACTGCGCCGTGAGAGGGCATTGCTTTCTTTATTGCGCCGTGGAGCAATTGGCCACGTCGACTGGCGCCGGAGCGCACGGGGCCGTCGAAGTGGGCCCACGGGGTGAGAGGGCGTGTGCGGAAGAGCAGGAGGAGGAGGAGTAGGAGGAGGAGGAGAAGGAGGATGAGAAGAAGAAGGAGGAGGAGGAGGAGGAGGAGGAGGAGGAAGAGGAGGAGGAGGAAGACGAGGGGGAGGAGGAGAGAAGGATGAGGAGGAGTAGGAGGAGGAGGGGAGGAGGAGGAGAAGGAGGAGGAGCAGAAGGAGGAGGAGGAGCAGGAGGAGGAGGAGGAGGAGAGGAAGATGTTCCACTCTTCTTCGCAGGACATTTGTCCGTCCCGTCGCGCCGCTATCCGCCTCGAATCCGCGCTGAATCCACGTCAAACTTGTCGACTCCACGTCGAATGGAGGTCGAGGCCGCGTCGAGTCCGCGTCGGAGGAACGCCGACTCTGCGACGAATCTACGTCGAGCGCACCTCGGGCACAAGCAACGGACCGCCGCTTACAGGACAGACGAGGTTCCCAAAAATTGGATCTCAAAAAAAGGTGGTCTTTGTCTTGTTCGGCCTTTCGACATTGGGCGGACGGGGGGGATGGCTCCGCACCTCTGCTTCATGCGACAGAACAGTGCGTCCTGTGAGGGAGACTCCACCTGCTCGAAGCAGGCGCCCAAAACAGCCAAGAGCTACTCCATGGGGGGGTGCGAGGGCCCGAGCTGAATGGCAAAATAATGAGTAAGAAAATTATCATAAGGGCGTGCCTCCAGCATGTTCTGCTTGTGGATCCCCATGTTCGCCAGCGCACCGCAGCCCTGCTCCTGCACGGGGGCCGTGCGCGAGCGGCGGGGGGGAGGGGGCCAGGAGTGCGAGGTGCAAGAGCATGCCTCGATGCCTGGCGAGCAGGGAGGGAGGGATGCGAGAGATAGGAGCTATGGCAAGCTCGTGCTTAGTGGGCCCTGGAAACGACAGGGCCGTTTTTTGTTACCAGTTCCGTTTTGCCGTTTTTTTACCGGTTCCGACGCCGTTTTTTTACCAGTTCCGTCGCCGTTTTTTGACCGGTTCCGGCTCGGGCTCCAATCCTGGAGCCGCTTTTGTTGCCGTTTCCGGTCGCCGTTTTTTTGCCGCTTCCCTTTCCAAGGGACAGTTGTTTGGAACCGGTGAAAAAACGGCCCTGCCGTTTCCGGGGCCCACAAAAGAGGACGGTCCTCCTGCTGACCAGTTGTCCCCGCCTTCAGCTCGAGACAGCTCCACCCTCCACTCTCCCCGGGTAGCACCGTGGCCCTCCTCGCTGCAGGTGGCCCGCTGGTTTACCAGCCTCGAACGTATCCCTATCCCTAAGATTGACACACCAAAAGGCGATGAGAATCTTAGGGATTCGCCCTCAAAAAATAAGGGAATCCCCAAGATTGGCATCGTGCTGAGGAGGTGCCCAGCATAGGGATAGGGCTCCCGACGCCGCGTGGCTCGTTCCACCCTGGACGGCCGCGGTCTGCCGGCAGCGCAGGTCGTCCGATATATCGGCGGGCTCGGGGCCACTGGCGGCCTTCAACCCTGGATTGCCCGCGCTGGGGCCGCCGTCGCGTCGACGCGACGCGAACCTGGCGTAGCGAAGAGAAGCGAGAATGTGCTTCAATACAGAGGCCCGACCACAAGAAACCTTCCACAAGAAACCAAGCCCTGAGACCCCAGGACGTCCATCGATTCTGGGTGTGGGAACGCCATGCTTTCCTTGCGAAACCATCGAAACCCAAGAAACCCAGGGCACCCTGGAGGCAAGCAGGGTGTGTTCTTGGCATGGGTCTCCACTGTACGCTTGCAGTCAGAGCTTTGCAGGGGCGTGCCGCTGGAGGCCCAGTCTGGGCAAGGACAGACTGCGCACCCGAGAAGCCCAGGAAAGACACTCGTGACCTCGTCTCGCAGGGGACCCTGGGAATACCAAGGCGAGGCGTCTCTGGATTACAAGGAATGGGGGGGGAGGAAGGATAACGAAACTAGGACGGCGAGGTAGGACACAGCCTTTTTTTTACAGGCGCGAAGAAGCCCTGTGGCACGAATAGGGGGACGAGGGCGAGGGAGCAGGGAGAGGGCGAGGTAGGACACACACACACACACTCACACGCACACCTCCGACGTCGATGCTTCTTCCAGGTAAGGGCTCAAGCCCAAGCTTCTCTTCTGGTGGGCGGGCCTGTAGACCCTGGACTGGAGGTGGTGTCGAGCAAGTGGCGTCGGAGCTGAACACGACAAATCACATGCGCGGAGAGGGCAATCAACACACACGCGTTTCGGCACGCACGCGTTTGTGCTCTGCCCCCGCGTTAAAAGGGGGGATGTCGAACAAACGGCTGGCGCACTGTTTACACATGACCATATGGACGCTGAGGAGGGGGGGGCGGGGGGCGCGGGGGCGGTATGCGTCTGGTGCTTGCGCATTTGGCATGGAAATGTCGAACATTCGGTCGGCGGGACATGAGCACACAAATTTACGCACGAGGGAAGGGTACCCACTATGCGCTTGGCGCAAGTGCATGTGGCATGTGCTTTCATGGTGTTTGCTCCCAGGGGGATCTCGAACATGCTGTCGACGGGTTCTTCGCGCGTAGAAATAAGTTCACAGAAGAGTGGGACCCAACATGTTCCTGGCGCGTGCGCATTTGGCACGTGCTTCCACGTGTCCAGGCCTCAGAGGGATGCCGAACATGTGGTCGGCGGTCTCCTGACAGGTCAAATAAATGCGCCGAACAGATCCCTGGGGACACACGCCTGGGAGGCGGGCCAAGCCCCCGGAACGGAATAGGAGGGCGAGGGGGACCGAATCGAAGACGGAAGCGGAGGACGAGGAGGGAGGCAGAAGGAGGAATGAAAGGAGGGGGACGGGGGCAGGAGGAAGCGAGAAGGAGGAGGACAAGGATGGAGGAGAAGAGGATGAGGATGAGGACGAAGAGGAGGAGGAGGAGGAGGAGGAGGAGGAGGAGGAGGAGGAAGAGGAGGAGGGGGACAGGAAATGGAAGAGGAGGAGGATAGGAGGAGGAGAAGGAGGGGGGGGGAGGGGGAGGAGGAGGAGAGGAGGAGGAGGGGGAGGATCTGTGGGGCGCTTCGTGCGCTGCCTGGGCCTCCAGAGACGCGCGGAGTCCTCCAGAGACCTCTGGGGGGGGGGGGGGGGGGAAATTCGACGGCGAGGGCGAGAGTTCGGTATGCTCCCCTCCACGACCAGGGAGCAGGAGAGGATGCTCACCCCGCAGGGCCCGGCTCTCGAGGAAGGGGGGGCAGGGAGAGAGGGAAGGACAAGGGGAACGATTGCAATGGCTCCTCCTCCCCTCTTCGCCAGTGGCCTTTCCCGGCTCATCCTCTTCCCGTCACTCTTATCTCATCCTCCTCCTCCTCCTTCTCCAGGATGGGAGGGAGAATCGTCAGGAGGAGGATGAGGAGGGAAGAGGAGGCAGGCTGAGGGGAAGCGGAAGGAAAGAGAGAAAGATGGGTTGAGGAAGATAGGTAATGATACGGATAAGGGGCAGGGCAAACATTGAGCGGGAAATGTATGGAAACCAAACGGTACGTGTAATGGAAAAGTACGGGTGAAGGGGAAAGCAACTACGAAAGAAGACAAGTGAAAAGGGAGATGAGGGAAGAAAATGGCAGTATTGCGAATCTACGTTCTGCCATTGATCCTGGACGCCGACGTGCTCCAGATGCTTCGTCATGGCACCTAGGATGAAGCCCACGCCCCCGACCTGGCCAATCTTGACCTTGTTGGCGTCGTCATGCGCGAAGTTCGAGCAAGCCAAGCAAGCGAAGTGCTGAACGCGCGCATCGTCGGGCCACGTCTTCATAGCGTAGATAACCATCTCGATGGCGCCCGCCTGGAGTATGACGGTGCAATTTTCCTCCTGTGGGCGCAGCAAGAAGACTTATACCGCGCTTACAGGCTCGGAGCAATGCGCCAGAAAGACCCATCCCACCAGGGACAAACAAAGCCCCAACTGCAAAGTCTCCACGCAGGGGAAAGCCAGCCCGCCAGAAACCCCACCTCACGTGGGCGTCAGTCGCGCGATCAGCCCAAACTGCCAGACTCTGGCGGGCGAGAGACGAGATTGAACTCGAACTCCCCGTAAGGCACTGCATGTGCGGGCTTAGAGGATACAGTAGGGAACCGACCACAAGAAACCTTCCACAAGAAACCCAACCCTGAGAACCCAGGACGTCCATCGATGTTTGATGTGGGAACGTCACGCTCCCCATCGCAAAAGCATCGAAACTCAAGAAACCTAGGGCATCCTGGATGCAAGCAGGGTGTTTCTTGGCATGGGTCCCCACTGTATGTATGGATATGTGTTAGTGACCCTCCCTTTCGCCTCCGTCGCCTCATGCCCCACCACCTCCTCCTCTCGGCTGCCAGCCCAGGGGGGGAAGTGAGCAGGATAGGGCCTTCTCAAAGGCGGCGGGTCTGCTCAGAAGGCCTCCTGCCTTCTGACCCGCTTCCTGCGTCTTCGGGGAAGGCTTCGAAAGCTCAAGGCGCCCTGGGACACACAAACAAATACACACAAATCCCAGGATCCCCCCATATTTTCTATTTTTTCTAAATGTTCGTCTTCCCCCCCCCGCTGTCCATCCATGTGTTCCCATAGTTTCCTGGGAATGCCCTCCTGAAGAACTTCTCCGAGGAGAGGGGGGGACGGGGCGGGCTCCCGTCCCTTCCGGGGAGGCCCGCCCCGTCAAACCTGCCCCCGCGGGCTCCCCGCCGATCCTGCCCCGCAGCTCGCGCGCGCGCGCCGTGGCGGAGCCCCGGGGCCCCTGACGCGGGAGCTCTCTTCGCTGCTCGCGCGCCTGCTCGGCGCCTCGGGGGGGCACGGGCCCCCCGCGCGGAGCCCCTCGCCCCGAGGCGCCCTCCGAGACAGACGGCAGGCCCCCAGGAAGCCGCTCGGAGGCTCCTCCTCCTCCTCCTCCTCCTCCTCCTCCTCCCCTCCTCCTCCTCATCCTCCTCCTCCTCCCTCCTCCTCCTCCTCCTTCCTCCCTCCTCCTCCTCCTCCTCCTCCTCCTCCGCCTCTCTCCTCTCCTCTCCTTCTCCGCCTCCTCTCCTCCTACTTCCTCCTCCTCCTCTCCTCCCTCCTCTCCTCCCCCCTCCTCCTCTCCTCCTCCTCCTCTCCTCCTCCTCCGCCTCCTTCTCCTCCCTCCCCCCTCCGCCTCCTCCTCCTCCTCCTCCTCCTCCTCCTCCTTCCTCCTCCTCCCTCTTCCTCCTCCTCCTCATCCTCCTTCTCCTCCTCCCTCCTCTCCTCCTCCTCCTCCTCCTCCGCCTCCTCCTCCTCCTCTCCTCCCTCCTCCTCCCCCTCCTCCTCCTCCTCCTCCTCCTCCTCCTCCTCCTCCTCCTTCCTCCTCCTCCTGCTCCTCCTCTCTCCTCCTCCTCCTCCTCCTCCTCCTCCCTCCTCCTCCTCCTCCTCCTCCTCCTCCTCCCTCCTCCCCTCTCCTCCTCCTCCCCTCCTCCTCCTCTCCCCCCTCCCCCGTCCCCCTCCTCCTCCTCCTCCTCCTCCCCTCCCCCTCATCCTCCTCCTCCTCCTCCCGCCCCCCTCCTCCTCCTCCTCGTCCTCGTCCTCCTCCTCCTCCTCCTCCCCCTCCACCACCTCCAGGAGCTCCAAGAGACCCCAGAAGGCCCCCGAGGGGCCCGGAAGACACCGCCGCCAAGGAGGCTTCTGAAAAACCTCCGCAAGGATCCGCACACGCATCCCAACAGCCTCGGACCCACAATCAAGGCGCGGTGGCGGGATAGGCCGAAGGCTACTAGATCCGCCGCCCCCTGTTTTTATTACATGTGGCGAGCAATGCTTAACTGCCGCAGAAGCTGATCCTTTGGAGACCCAATGGGGAAATGGGCCACGAAATTGCCTGGGTGCCTTGGGTCGTGTGACTGATCATCTGCGGCGCGGCGGGATGGACACCCCTGGGCGGCCTCCCAACGGTGCGGGCGTTCGTTGGACCACGCTCCCTTCTCATCAGTACTCCACGCACACGAACTGTCGGCACTGCGACCATCAGCGTTTGCAGCGCTGTGCCTGATCAGCGTCGTCGCCGCGGCAAACACAATTCAGATCACCAGCGGCAGTCGACAAGCATGGGCGGCCGGGAGAACGACGCAGGGGCGCGAAATTGCCCGCGCGACATTGCCCGCAAGAACGTGCCTGCGCGAAAAGGCCCCAGAGCTGCGGCCCAAAATGGCCGCACGAATACACCCCAAAATTGATCCGCGAGCGCCTACAAAAGCCAGAAACCGTCTGAGACATTCGCACAACAGTTGCGGGTGGACAGTATGGTGCGGCATTTGGTGGTGCATTTCGTGCTGGAAGTTCCTGCAGCAACTTCTTATTTTTTGGCCGCGCTCAGCATCAGTGCGGGCAGCGCCGCGGGTCAGCCAGCAACTGGTGCATAACGTCGTGTCTGCGTGGGAACAATTTCGTGTTCGTGCGAGCGAACATCATTTTGTGTTCGCGCGAGAACATCGTAGTGTCGTGCGAAAATCCGACGGCCCCCTGTGGAGCCATCAGGCTGCGAGGGTGAAGGCTGCAGTGCCCTGCGCCACTTCCATTTTCCAGCTTCCAATGTGATAGCTCTACTTTCTGCTTCCTACTGTGAATTGTTACTGTCCAGGCGAGGGGGGGAGCCGAAACGGACCCTGATTACCCTCTCCCAAAAGGGTTGCCAATATTATTGTGGGGTCCTGTGACACATAAAAGTACATAAGATTCGTGCCCCCGAGGCCATAACCCTTCGCAAATTACATGCTACTCGCGTCCCCGAGGCCACGATCCTTGCGAATTGCGCCATGCTCGCGTCTCCGAGGTCACGATCCCTTATTAATTACACCGTCTTTGCCCCCCGAATTCACAATCCTTCATAATTGCGCAACGTCTGCGTCCCCGAAGCCACGATCCATGGTAGAGTATGCAATACTCGCGTTTCCCGAAGCCATACTCCTTCGCAAATGGATCAATATTCGCACCCCCTGTGCCACGACTCTCCACAAATTAGACAAGACTCGCGTCTCCGAGGCCACGCACCGCAAATTAGATAATTCGCGTCTCCGAGGCCACGCTCCCTTCTGAATTACACCATGCTCGCGTCTCCGAGGCCAAGGTCCCTCGAACATTGACTGATGTTCGCACCCCCGAAGCCATAACCCCTTGCAGATTACACCGTATTCGCGCCCCCGAGGCCACGATCTCTCGTAAGTTAAATGATATTCGCGTCTCTGAGGCCACGATCCTTTTAGTAGTTTGCTCAATACTCGCGCCCCGAACGCCATAATCCCATACAAAGTATGCAAGAATCGCGGTCCCGAGGCCACGATCCTTCGTACATTAAACTCAATGTGCGTCCGATCCTTCGATAATTACTTGAGATCCACACCTTGAGGCCATGATCCCTAGCAGATGACGCAATATTCGCGTCCCCGAAACCACAATCCCGCACAAATCAAACAAGATTCGCGCCTCCGAAGCCACGACCCCTTGCAATGTACACCATATTCGCGTCTCCGGCGCCACAGCCCATAGCAAATTACGCCATATTCGCACTGCCGAGGCCACCATCCCTTGCCAATTGCGCCAGATGGTTCCAAGATCGCTGTAAAACGGCCCAAGAGGGCCCCAAGAGGCCCCAAGAGTGCTCCAAGAGCACCCCCAAGAAGGGCCCCAAGAAGCTAAAACCAACGACCCCCCGGCTGGTTTGCAAGATGTTCGCATGCTCGCATTTCCGAGCTCCCAATGTTCCAAGACGGCCCAGGAGACTCCCAAGATCGCTCCAAGAGGCGCCCAAGAGCGCCCCAGGACGGCCCAAGAAGCTCCCAAAACAGCCTCAAGAGGGCCCAAGAGGGCCCCGAGACGGCCCAAGAGGCACCCGAAACGGACCAAGAGGGCCCCAAGAGGGCCCCAAGAAGGGGCCCAAGAGGGGAGACCCGAACCGACATGTCGAGCCCTCCGTACCAACAGGCTCCAAGAAGCCCCCAAGAAGTTCCAAGAGACCCCAAGAGGCTCTAACACAGCCCCCAAGAAGCATCCGAACTGCCTCCGAGAGGCTTCCCAAGCCACTTCAACACATAGACAAGAGGCCTCAGACCTGCAATCAAGGCAACGACACGTTCAATAATTACGCCAACGTCTGAATCTGCGCTGCTGAGTCCTATCCGCCCGCGCACGATGCCCCCAGACGTCCCAACACGGCGCCCAAGCGCACCGAAACGACTCGAAGCTGGCCGTATATGATAAGGTACGGATGATCTTGCGGTCGTGCGACCGCGATTTCGTGTTCGCGCAGGGATGAAGTCGTGTTCGGGCAGCACTCGCTTTGCATTTGCACGGCACTTACGCTGCTCACTGCCAGGGACTGCAACAAACATGTCACGCTCTACGTGCAGACGTGACAAGGCAAGAGGATACATGGAAAGCAGCGCGCGGCAAGCGGACCCATTCGCGTAAGGCAGCGCCACCTGCGCAGTCAAAGCAACCCCATTTCGCTTGGAAAGGATTTCGTGCGCGCCCACGTTTCGTTACCAAGGGTTGATCATCTATGAAAACTGGTGTGACTGTGTATAACATGTTCCAATGGCCTCCAATCCGACCCGACGGCCAACCAGAACCCCATATCTCGTCGACTTGCCGCCGGAGTTTCCGCAACGCCCGCCTCCAAGGCGGCCAAGATGGCCACCAAGTTGGCCCAAGATCGGTTCCAAGACGGTCCCGAGACGCCTCCAAGACGGCCAATATGGCCCCAAGACGGCCCAAGATGCCCTCCAGCCCAAGAGGCCCACGAGACGTCCCCTCAATGATTTTAGCGCGTTCTCGCAATTTCGGGCTTCGGGCTTCCGGCGCTCCAAGACGGCCCCACAGGCACCCAAGATCGCCCCAAGTCGCCCCGGAGAGGACCGCAAGACGCTCCAAGAGGGACCATGGACGGCCTAAGATGCCCCCAAGACGTCCCCAGAACGGCCCACAGACCTCCAACGATGGCCCTAAAGCGCAAAGAGGGGCCCATGACTGCCCATGGAGACCTCCAAGACGGTCTCCGACGGCCACAAGGTCCCCTCCCGTGGAGGCCCCCAGAGGCCCCCAAGAGCCCCCAGAAGGCCCCCAAGAGGCTCCGAGAAGACTCCGAGGAAGAAGCCCCCAGGAAGCCACACGACGGCCTCAAGAGGCCGCCTGCTTTTCCTTCTCCTCCCTTTCAGCCTCCGCCCTCTTTCTCTCCAAAGTGTGCCCGAAGGGTTTCACAACGGCTGGAGGAGCTTGGCCTGACTTTCGCCCAACGTTCGGCCACATCAGCGCCTCCAAGAGGCAGGGGGCGCAGGCGGTTCGCCGTAGGCGTCTCCGATCAGATTCGATCGGCCCCCTCCGAAACGAGAACCTCCCCTCCCCGCCCCACTTTCCACCTAGGGGAAGGGCTTCCCCTCGGGTGGCAGGGGGAGGTGTGGGCTCAGGACACCCCACCCGCAAGGGGGGAGGGGTGGGTTCCAGACGCCCCCCCTCCATGGCGCACGGAAGGGGTGGGGATACGACCCGCCCCCCAACCTCCTGCTCGTCGTCGACGTCGTCGTCGTCGTCGTCGTCGTCGTCGGTGGCGGCGGCGGCGGCTGATGGCGACGAATAGGGGGGGTCTCTTTCCCTTCTTTCCGTCCCCGCCCCGATACCCTCGACTACACAGAGCGACACTCGCGAAACAAAATCTATCATGCTCTCTGGGGGGCAACAGAATACCGGTACCGCGACCCTCTAGACCTCTTCCGTGGTACGTTCTTCCCAACAGGTCGAGACGAATCGAGCCGCGGCGGCGAAGGGCGTTTAGCGGTGTCGGTCTCACCTCCCCCTCTGAAGTAATTATTTGCTTGTATGTTGTTGTTCTTTCTCTCTCTCTCTCTCTCTCCCTCTCACTCTCGTTCCGCGAGCAGCGTTTCGCTAGAGGTCTCTACGGGAGCTTCTTGTTTTCATACTCGTGTATATATATATATATATATATAGATCTAGGGTTCTTTAAACTAGCAGAAAACAAACGAGTCCCGCGTGGAGGGCAGGGACCCCGAGAGCACCTCGTCCGGCAGCCGGTCCGGCAACCGTCTCTCGGTAGCCCATGCGGCAACCACTCCGCCCGAGGCTTCCCCAGCAATTCTGTTCGGGCACATCGCGTGCTCTCGCCTCGATGCCAGCTGCACTACATGTCTGGTCTCGACGACCGCAGTCCTTTTTTGCCTTAATAGGGAAGCGAAACATGACATAAAGATAAAAGCTCGGAGGTCCGCGCAGCTTTCTCAGATTGGCGCTGGATCCCCCTGGCGGCGCCTCCGGCGCCGCCCCTGGCGCGCTCCGCGCGCCAGGGAGGGAGGTCCAGCACGGATCCAAGAAATACACGTGGACCTCCGAGTTGTTATGTTTATGCCAGTTTTCGTTCCCCTAAACAAGTGCACTGAACACTAAGGTGCACATGGCCATGCTCGCCGTGTTCTTGTCCTGCTCTTCGGATTGCCTCAACTCCACTCCGCGTGCGCTTCCGGCGCACAGGTGGGCACCCTATACTGCAGTTTGGGCGTTTCCCTGGGGATGCATAGGAATACATGCATGCACTTTGTCGCTCGCCGGCCTCCAACTCGTTGACCCGCCTCTTCTTCCCCTTTACTGGTAATTAATTAGGTTCTTTGCTGGGTGAAGCTTGTACTTGTTGTGCGCCCCTTCTCTCTCTCGCTCTCTGTCTCACTCTCTCTCTCTCTCTCTCTTCCTCTCTCTCAGAATACATATGTATATATATATATACATATATACATATATATATCACCGTCTCTCACACGCTCTCTCTCTCTCTCTTTCACTCTCTCTCTCTCTGCTTCCATCCCATTTTTTTTTTTTTCTCTCTCTCTCTCTCTCCCTCTTTCCATCTATCTATCTATCTATCTATATATATATATACATATGTATATATATATATATATGTATCCTGTGATGTATATCCGCGAACGGGCCCGCCGCCCTCAGTGGACGGCCTGGGCTGCCGGTCCCCCTCCTCCTCCGTCTGCCCCCTCTCCTCTGCAGCAGGCGCCCCTCCTCGGCCTTTCGCCGGCGGCGCGCCGCGGGGGCGGAGGGGCGGTGTGCGAGCGGGGTGGGCCTCCTCCGAGGGCGGCGGGGCTCCTCGGAGGGGCCCTCTCTGGCCTCCGGCGAGGCCCCCAAAAGGGCGGCTTCGGAGCAGGCCCACGGGGGGCCTCTCGGGGAGGCCGCGCGGAGCCTGGGCTCTGCCCCCCCCCCGGGGGGCCGTGCCTGCTCCGTGCAGGGAGGCGCAGGAGCTCCGCCCTCACACGAATCGCCCCGAGACGCAGTGCCGTTCAGGAGACGCACCCAAAAGAGGAATCCGACGGGGCGGGGCTGCTGCTGCTCGTAGACGCCCAAGGGCCGTTCAGGACACGCTGGCCATCGGGCCCCGGTGGCTGTTCCGCCCTTGACCGCGGGGCCGCGGCGGCGCGCGGTCGGTCCTGCACGGCCAGGTTCCCCAGCGCGCCGAGGCCGTAGGCCTGGATGCCGGGATGGTTCAGGTGCTTCTTCAGGCCCGCGATGCAGGCCTTCACGCCGTCGGCCCTGGCCACCTGGGGGCACACTCGGAGCGAACTGTTATGGCTCCCTCGCGAGGCGGCGCGGCAGTTCTGGAGCGCCGGGCGGCGGGCGCCTGCCGCGCTCCGCTGCGCTCGTGCCCTCGCGCCACCTGCAGCGCCTTCTCCACCTCTTCCTCGCAGCATCCCGGCGTTCCCCTATCGTTTTCACACAGCTGGAGGAGCATGGCCACAAGTGGGTCAGGAGCATGAGCCCCTCCGCCGATGGCTGAAGGCCCTCTGGACGTATTCAAAACGAGGACAGGTGGAGAGCCTTAACACCACGAACACATGGGTACCCCCAGAAGCTGTTTTTTTGTCTTAGCCCTCGAGACAGCTGTGGTTGGCCTGGTTTCCACTGAGGGCGGGATTTGGATATTCATATCCAGTGGTCTTGGACTTTCTTGGAAGGGGCGCCGCAAGGCCGAGGCGCACTGGACAGTTATGGATATGCATCGAGCCTCCAGGGGCCAGGTCTTGTGCATACTACCGGTGCGCCTCGGGGTTCTGGGGGAGGACGCCCGAAACTCCAAGCTCCACTGGACACGGACAGAAGTAATGCGGGATGACGATTAATAAACAAAATGGGGGGTAACGAGAAAAAACAATAGTTTTCTGCTATTTCTGCACCAGTTTCTGACTGGAGGAGAACGATTAAAAAAAAAAATGTGTTCCAACCCGCGGCCGTTTTTGTCTAATCGTCATCCCGGGCGCCGCCGCGTGAACACGATCCCCGCTCATTTATTCATCGTCATCTTCCATTATTGCCCGGACTGAGCTCGCCACCTCCACCCTGTTGTTCTCGTCCAGGGCCAGGTTGGCGATGGCGGCGCAGCCCTGCTCCCCCACCTCCGGGGCGACGCCGGGGAGGGCACGCGGCACACGACTGGGGGAGTAGCAGAGCGAGGGGGAGCGGAGGAGACGGATCGAGGATGGGGGCAGGGAAGTCCTCCATGCCATCCTCTTCTTAGACGGGGGGGGAGGATAGATCGACCCCAAAATCCCTCCTCCCGCCCACTCGTAGCATGGGGGAGAGGGATTCTTACGTCAAACCCTCCCCCTGAGCCACCATAGAGTGCCGGCAGACTTGTGGCGAGCCAGCCTGCTCTGGACTCCACCCAGAACTTACAACTGGACAACTTGGCGGCGCGCGCAAGGGGGGGGGGAGGGGGGGAAGGCTTCTTGGACAGAGGCTGCTTCTTAGAGAGGGCGCTGGCTCTACATCTATAGAGAAGGGTATGTTGCTCCCATGGTACTTAAAGGACCACATCCCAGAAATAACCTCGAGCACCCAGACAAGTGTCGAAACAGTTGCGAAACATTGTCGGACGATTGTCTCCCAGGGCCCGACATGTGTAAACCCTAGAGTTTCGGTACTTCTGTGGTGCTCGAAATTCTTCCTGGTGGTCGAGGCTAAAGTAGGTAGGAACATCATAAAGATAAGGCCCGCACCTTGAGGCAAGGGTGCTTCTAAGAAGCCTTCCCCCCTCCCCCGTACCCCTGTGCGCGCCACCAAACACATGCAATCACACGCGCGAAGTTCGCGAATGGCATGGCAAAACGTGCCGAGTGAGCCCGACCTCACTCGCCAGACTGCTCCAGGGCACAACGCCGCGCGAGCGCACCGAGCATGTGTCGGGTCGGGCGAAAGGGGGGGATAGCAAAGGGGGGGGTTTGAGAATCAGCTCACGTAGCTGATTTTCCCGGCGCCTCCCGGCGCCGGAGGCGGCTATGTATCGAGAAATGGGCCCCTCGGTGAGGCCGAAACCAGCTGCATGCAGCACATTTCGTACCCCCCCCTTTCCCAATCCCCCCCTTTCGTCCGGCCCGAATGTGGAGCCGGATGAGGGGGCAGCGGCGGAGTATAGCACGCACCGGCGAGGCACACGCCAGACCACATGGCCAGCCCTGGGAGCCCCGAGCCCCCAAATGCTGCGATCTCTCGGATGGGGCACCTTTGGCGTCCGCTGGTCTTCCGCAGGCGGAGCCGCCCGCCGCCTCCGCTCTACCGCCGTCCGCCGGCCTTGCGCGGCCATCCGCCGAGGAGGAGACGCCGACTCCTTCGACCCCTCGATGGGGGAAACCAAAAGGTACCGACACCGCTACTCCCTGGACATCTCCCGGGGTGCGTCCTGGCCAGCACGTGGAGGCGAATCCGGCGGTGGCGACGAGGGCCTCCGAGGAGGCCCACAGAGGGGAAAACGGGTGCAGGGTGGAGGTATGGGTAATGCGGGATGACGATTCATACAAAAATGGGAGAGAACAATGAAAAATATAGTTTCCTGATATTTTGCACAATTTTCTGACTGGATGAGAACGATTAGAAAAATAGTTTTCCAGCCCGCGGCCGGTTTTTTCTAATCGTCATCCCGGGCGCCGCCGCGTGAACACGACCCCCGGTCATTTATTAATCGTCATCCTGCATTACCTCTGCCTCCTCTGATCGAAGGCGATGCCCCACAGACTTCGAGCAGAAGCCCCCCGCGCGGCGCTGCGCACGCGAGCCGCGGGCAAGACTTGCCCAGCCCCGTGTGGCCAGCGCGCCGCTCGAGAGCCGCCGGTCCGTGCCGCGCGCAAGCGCGCCCACGCTCCACCCGCCTCGTCGCCTGTCGTCTCGCCCCCAGAAGCCAGGACGCACCGGCAACGAGGAGGGAGGAAGGAGGAGGAGGAGGAGGAGGAGGAGGAGGAGGAGGAGGAGGAGGGGGGAGGAGGAGGACCAGTGTAAACAAAGAGGCATCAGCGAAGTTGGAAGAACCCCTCCCTCCAAGCTCCCTCCTCATGGGCCCCTACAACGTTTCATTTTTATTGAGGGTACTGCCTCGTTGGAAGACAACTGTTTGAAGACCTGGACGCATGCCAAAACATTGCTTGCTCTCGGATGTCCGACGCCACGGATCAACATGGCTGCTGCGTCTTGACGATCCTGAATCGTGCCAGAACGCCATTCTTGGAACTTGAACACTGCGAATCAACATAGCCTGTGCACCTTCATAAGCCTAAATTTTTTTAAGACACCATTTCTGGTTTTGACCATGGGAATCCGTGAAACTCTGGCAAATATTTTAAGCGAGCGCACGCGGCGCTAAGGCGAAAGGCACCTTTTGAAAATGAACCGCCCTCAATCCGTGAAAACCTGACAAATTTGCTGACGATTGTGCGCGGCGCTAAGGCGAGAACCACATTTTGAAAAGGACCCCCTCTCAATCCGTGAAACCCCTCCCATTTCTGAAAGCGAATGTGCGCGGCGCTACGGCGAGAGCCACATTTTGAGATGTAACCGCCCTCAGCCCTAGAACTCTGGTTAACTTTCAGACGAATGTGCGCGGCGCTAAAGCGAGAACCACATGTTGACAACGAGTCGCCCTCAATACGTGAAACTCTTGCAAATTGTTAGGCCGAGTGTGCGAGGCGCTGAGGCGAGAGCCACATTTTGAAAACGGCCCGCCCGCCATCTGTGAAGCTCTTCCGATGATTGAAGACGAATGTGCGCGGCGCTAAGGCGAGAACCACATTTTGAAAAGGAGCCGCCCTCCATCTGTGAAGCTGTTGCCAATTTCTGAACTTCAGAGTTATACATGTTGAAGAAGTCTCAGGCGAAACGCCCAGAATTGAAGAATTGAGGATGTTGAGGGCTTGAGATGGAGGGGGAGGATGAGAAGGAGGAGCAGGAACAAATCAGGGAGAGCAAACTCTATACATGTCCGCTGCTCGCTGACCGGGCCCAGCGCCTGAACCCAGCAGCGGCGTTATGCGCCACGCCTCCCCCTGGCTTGCCCAGGAGGGCGTCTACACAGGTTCTTGGCCCAGGAAGGGCCTGGCCACGGAGCAGTGGATATGTATAGATTTTGCCGCCCGAAGATTAACAAAAAACAGCACAAGCATACCCTGGGTTTCTTAACAAGCGGGGGGGGACCCCTCCAACGGGGGTCAATCTCGCATGGCCATCGCGCCGCGACGGGGGTCGGAGCGCCTTTGGCGCGCGGTGGCTGCCCGCGACCGGGGTCGATGTGGGGCTGTCGTCGGGGGTGACGCCCCCCCCGACGCTTACTAAGAAACTCGGAGTGAGCTTCTGTGGACCGCCAAAAGTTTATGCGTATCATTGCACCGGCCTTGCATACGTGCTGCAGCGGATTTGATGTTTGCTCGAATCGGCGAGCGAAAAACGAAGTGAATCTCGCGCGCATTCTTTTTGGTCTTCATGCCTGGCCACCAACAATCCGCACGAAATCCACCTCGAAATCTGGAACGAGACCCTCCAGGACAGTCGGGCCCTCTCGTTTCCCGAGCGACATCCGCTCTGCGACGTTGGCGCCAGGATGCTTCTGCCAGGCCTGTCCTTCGGAGGACGGGGAGCACGGGGGACGACGGGGGACGGCCAGGGGGCCCCCCCAGCCCTGCTGGGGCCGCCCGCAGAAGGCACCACCGCAATCCCCCCGGTGCGCCGTGCCCGGGCCCGAGGGAGTCCCCGCGGGCGGGCACCCGGGGACGGGCCCACGCGCCCTCGGCACGGCGAGGCCCGGGCGTGCATCTCTCATGTTCTGGCACGTCCCGCCGTGCGCGTCACAGAGATCCGATGGCGTGATTTTTGAAGGGGCCCTGGGACACACAAATAAATACACACAAGTAACCGAATCCCCGAAATTTTATCATATTTTGTCTGGGTTTTCGTCTTCCCCCCCACTTCCCATATTTTCGCATTTTCCTGGGAGTCGGCGATTAATTGTGTCTGTGTGTTTTTTCTCCTCCTGATTTTTTTCCATACGCGGTCCCTGGAAGTCTTGACATCCATTCCCCAGGACCGGTCGTTCCTACCGAGTCGTTTCCTGACGGCCCCGAGGCCCGGCGAGGGCCCCGGGGGGCCGACATTTGCGAAAGGCCTCCGTCTTGATGTTGTTCGATGCGCTGGATCTCTGGGGTCTGGCTGCGAGTGGCCGGGTGCGGGCGCGGATCCGAGAGGACGACGGATGCGACGAAGACGGCGGCGGCTATACGACGAGGGGCAAGCGACGACGGCAGCACGCGGACGGACACGCGGTGAGCAGGCCCCAGCCCCTCTCCCTGCTCGTCCTCCCGCCTCCCGTGGCCCTCCTCCTGCGTCGCCGCACGCCCTCCTCGCTAGCGAGTGTCCTCCTCCCTGGTGGCCTTCTGCCCGGTTCTCCCTCTTCCTCCTCGTCTGGGCCCCTCCCTTGTCTTCCTCCTTCCCCCGTTCTCTTTCCTCTCGCGTCTTCCTCTGTCTCACTGCGTCTTCCCTCCTCCTCCTCCTCCTCCTCCTCCTCCTCCTCCTCTTCCTCCGTCTCATCCTCCTTCTCTTCTTCATCCTCCTCCTCCTCCTCCTCCTCCTCCCTAACGGCCGTCCTTCTCCTTATATCGAGGTGGTCGTACAACTCTCAATGGACAGGGGTCGGAAGTGCAAAACGAGCGCCGCGCTCGAGAAGTTCCCACAATCTGGCCGCGAACGGGCGACTGCAGCCATCCCTGGCGGCTCTCCCTGATGGCGCTATCATCAGCGCCTCGTTCGAGGCATCCTCACAGCCTGCGCCGAAAGCCGAGGCCACCAACCAGGCAAACCGCATGAGACACCGCCCAAACTCTGGCGGCGAACGGGCCGCCGACAGCGTCCACTTGGGGTCCTGAAACCGGTGCCACTGCTCGAATCATCCTCGCCCTCGGCTTTGAACGCAGCGGAACCGTGGCCACCAAATGAGCGAACCGCCTAAGGCATCCACCGCAATCTTGGCCCCATTGGAGTAAAGCAGCCTGCGCCTCGCTCAAGGCACCCCTGCAATCTGCTCCGACAGCCCCGGTGCCCAGGCCACCAAACAAGCCAATCGCCCGACACTGCCCCGCAGTCAGGCCGCGAACGGGCCCGCCAGCAGCTTCCGTTTGGGATCCTGCAACCAGCGCCCTGCCCGAGACAGCCTCACACTCGGCTCTGAACCCGGGGGGGCCCTTGGCCACCAAATGAGCTAACCGCTCGAGACATCCCCCACGAGCTTGGCCCCTCGGGGTGCTGAAGCCTGCGCCTCGCCCAAGGCATCCACACAATCTGGTCTGAAGCCAAGGCGTCCAAGCCACATAACAGGCACACCGCCTGAGACATCCCCGCAATCTAGGCATCTTGGGGTGCTGAGGCCAGCGCCCCACGTGAGATATCCACACAATCTGCTCTTCAAGCAAAAGATCTTCTTAACATCCTGGGCACCCTGACAAGCAAACCGCTCGAGAAATCCGCGCAATCTGGGCGCGAACGGGCGGCTGCAACCATCCCTGGCGGCTCTGCATTGTGAGTGCTGAAACCACCGCCTCGCCTGAGACATCCTCGCTCTCTGCGAGCTTGACTGGGATCGATTCTAAAGCTGAGTGAGTCTGAGTATGAGGGGGAGTGAGTATGAGTGTGAGTGAATGTGGGCATGAGTGAGCCTGAGCACGGGTGCATCTGATTGTGGGTGAGTATGAGTGCGAGTGGGTCTGAGTGTGGCTACAAGCGTGAATGAGTCTGAGTATGGCTGAGTCTATGCAAGTGCGAGTGAGTCTGAGTGCGAGTGGGTCTGAGCGCGCGTGGGTCTTAGTAAGTAGATATGAGTGTGTGCGTGTGACTCTGAGTCGAGTGGGTATGAGTGTGAGTGGGTCTGAGTCCTATTGAGTCTGAATGCGTCTGGGTGCGAGTAGTGTGAAGGTGACGGAGGAGACGAGGAGGAGGAGGAAGACGAGGAGAAGGAAGAAGAGTAGGAGGAGGAGGAGGAGGAGGAGGTGGAGAGCAGATGAGAGGAGAAGATGCGTGACAGTCGGCGGCGTCAGAGTAACAACAAGAACCCCATCACAGGAAACTGTCCAAGATGACAAACTGGTTCCTGGGACAGGGTCTGGACCCCTGGGCTCCGCGCTGTGGAACACAGCACGGAGCAGGTCACGCGAAGCGCAAACGCACACCTCGATTGAGAAAGGAGGGGCAGGGAGGAGCAGCAATAGGAGGCGGCCGGGCGGGTGATTCCTTCTCTGCGCCCCCCCTGTGCGCCAGACGCGCCCGCACTGGAAGAAGAGGACGAGGAGGCGGAGGCGGAGGAGGCGGAAGCATGGGGTGGAGAGAGAGGGAGCAGGGAGCAGCAGGATGGGGATTGCACGGAGGACCAGGAGGGGGGGAGGGAGGACGAGAAGGGCGAGGAGACGCACGACGGGAGCGAGGGGCATTCCAAGAGGCACGCGGAGTTCCCAGGAAACCTCGCCAGTAGTGAAAACCATTCTCCAAGACGCCTCGCGCCTCGAACCCCAAGAGGCACGAGGAGGAGGGCGAGGAGGGCGAGTTGCGGCAGGCGCCCCCCCCCCGTGGACTTCGGGGTGCTGCACGTGGTACCGCATCCCGTTGACCACCAGCGCAATGCCGCCCTCGCTGCGTATCGCCACGCGGGTGGCCTTTGGCGCCACCAGGATCCCCTTACGCCTCCTCCTGACCCTCCGCCGCCTCGTTGTCGTTGTCGTGGCTGTCGACTTCATATTATTATTCGAATTATTGAAATGCTCATTATCATAAGTATCATTACTGCTATTTTTACTCATATGATTATTACTATATTTGTTCATGGATTTGTTTATGTATTGGTTTGATGTAAATGTGTTTAATCATATTGTTATAACTCTCCTCCTCCTCCTCTTGCTCCTTCTCCTCGTCCTCCCCCTCCTCTTCCTCCTCCTCCTCCTCCTCCTCCTCCTCTTCCTCCGCCTCCTCACCCTCTTTCTCCACCACCTCTCCATCCGAAATGAAAGCAGAAGGGTTACGTTGCCAGGACTGCTATTTGAAACAGCGCGAAACTGGGCCCGGGGCGGCGCCCTTTGACCGGCCGCATCGGTATCCCCGATGATGTCCTCGTCGTGGCGCGGGGGCCCGGGAGCAACCGGGGGGCGAAGGAGCACCGCCTGGAAAACATGCTGACCGCGATCGGACGAGGCGTCGAGAGCCCCATTGGGGGGGCGGGGGCGGCCCCCGGGAGTCTGGGTTTGAGCTTCGCGGCTGTCGTCGGCAGCAGCGGCAGCGACCGCCGCCGCCGCTCTAGGGTCGACACCCGGAACCGTCAGCAACCACGCGCCTTCAAGGAGCGGCGCGACCGAGACTGGGCGCAACCCGAAGACCTCAGACTTCTTCGAGAGCGCCACCGACAGCAGCAGCGCGGGACCCCCCCGAGCAGCCTTCATAACTGCGTACGCAGTGCCTAAGATCGGGTGGGACGAAATCCGCTCGGCGTTCAATCGCCACGCGCACCACCAAGTGCAGCGGGTGCGCACCACCGACTGAAGCGTGAGCGCGATCAGATCGGAACGCGGGATCTCGCAGAACGGGGCCTCCACCTTTCTCTCCTCCAGCTGATCCGTTGCCTCCTTCTCCTTCTCCTCCCCGTTATCCTGCTTCTCCTCCTCCCCACCCCGCCCTCCACCCCTTCCTCCTCCTCCTCCTCCTCCTCCTGCTTCGCCTCCTCCTGCTCCTCCTCCTCCTTCCCATCGTCTTCCTCATCCTCGTCTTCCTCCTCCTCCTCCTCCACCTCGTCCTCCTCCTCCTCCTCCTCCTGCCTCTCCTCCTCCTCCTCCTCCTCCTCCTGCTTCTTCTCCTCCTCCTCCTCCTGCTTATCCTCCTCCTCCTCCGTGATGGTGTCGCCTTTCTTAACCCATCCTCGTCCCCTCCCTCCGCCCCCGCCCTCCCTGCCTGTCCCCCCCCCCCGCTGTGCCCCTCACCCCGCCCCCCGCTTTGCCCCCCGCTTTGCCCTCCCCCCCCCACCCCTCCTCCCCGTCCCAGATGGAGAGAGAGAGAGAGAGAGAGATGGAAGAGAGAGAGAGAGAGAAGAAGAGAAACACAAACAAAAGAGGAAAACGAAACCCAACAAGGGAGCCCCCACAGTTCACGACCGCGACGGGGCGGAAGGGAAACACCTCCTAGGTGCGCACTCTGAGCCAGCTCTCAGCGCGCGCGCGCGTTGCACGGCAGCCCGCCCCCAAACGCAACCCCTCCTGATTACCTTCGCCTGCTCCTCTTGCCAAAGGAAGAGGCGGAGAGAACGCTGGAACAAGAGAGAGAGAGAGAGAGAGAGAGAGCGAGAGAGAAAAGACGATAGAGAGAGAGAGAGAGCGATAGAGTGAGAGAGAGGGGTAGAGGGAGACATAGAGAAACAAGGAAAACAAACAAAACAGCGAGAGAAAGAGAGAGAGAGAGAGAGAGTGAGAGAGAGAGATGGAGAAAGATGGGGGGGGGCAAGGACCTGGTGACGTACCCAAGCCTGTCCAATCACTTGGCGAATATATATATATATATAAAACACCAATGCAAACGAACATTGTGAAGGACCAGCAGTGCGCGTGCACTCTCAAAAGTACACCAACCAAAAACAGGAATGGCAAGCTAGGAGCGGAGTCAGAAGTTTGCCGAGGACAGTTCATGGGGACATGCATGTTCAGTAGTAAACTCACTAGCGCCTAGCGCTATATACGCGGGACACAACAGCGGCATGCGCTCCATAGCAGAACAGTGCGTCGCACTGGGCGAGGCAAGCGAACGGGGTGGCATGGCGGGCTAGAGGCGGCTGGGGATGGAAGGCCACGTGGACAAACGACAGCGCAATGCGCTGCGTGGCACACCGAATCCCTGCGAGCTGTGATGCGACAGCGCCGAGCGCTGCGGGACGAGACAGTGCCGAGCGCTATGAGAACTCCAGCCCGCCCTTTCTGATGCGAAAACTTGCCGTCAATTGCATCTCTAGCTGGCGCCTGCGCCAATGAGGCGCCGACGACAACTACCGCGAATTCGCCCGACACCGCAGGCAGCCCACGAACGTAACGACGGTTACGCACTTCGCAACCCCTCCACGCCCATGGAGCTGCGAGGTCTGGACGGGATCCCCGTGAGTACAGACTCCGCCGGACCCACCCTGACATTCACGAATATGGCGACCCCAGGAAGCCGCGAGGCTTCAGCTGGATCACCGTAAAACTCCACTCCAGTGGGCCTCCCAGGAGCCCACGAAATGGGCAACCAATTCACACTTCGCAGCCCCCCAGGGAGCCGCGAGGTTTCCACTGGGTCCCCGAGCAACTCCACTCCGCGATGCCTCCCAGGAGCCCACGAAAGTGGAGACAATGTCACACTTCGCAGCCCCCCAGGGAGCCGCGAGTTCTCCACTGGGCCCCTACACAACTCCACGCCGCGCGACCTCCCAGGAGCCTACGAAAACGGCGACAAATTCACTCTTCGCAGCCTCCCAAGGAGCCGCGAGGTCTCAACTGGATCCCAGTACAACTCCACTCCGCTGGATATCACATGGGCCCACGAAAGTGGAGACAATGTCACACTTCGCAGCCGCCCCCCCCACGATGGAGCCGCGAGGTCTCAGCTGGATACCCGTACAACTCCACCCCACTGGAACCCCCAGGAGCCCAAGAACCTGGCGACAACTGCACACTTCGCAGCCCCCCAGGGAGCCGCGAGGTCTCAGCTGGATCCCCGTGCAACTTCGCCCCACAACCCCAGCAGAGTGGCGACGGGTGTGCACGTCGCAGCCCTCCGGGGAGCGGCGAATTCCGAAGTGGATCCCCGAACAGCTCCTCTCTGCGCGCCCTCCCGGGAGCCCACGAGAGCGGGCGGTAGCCAATAGCACAAAGCCACGAGCACGAGCACGCGAACTGCGCTCGCGGCGGGAGGCACGGAAGATAGAAAGCGGGAGGCAGGAGCCGCAGGAGGGAGGAGCGAAGACCACGGTGCGCTCTTCAAAACGAGAACCCAGCGCAGGAGAAAGAGAGAGAGAGAGAGAAAGAGAGAGAGAGAGAGAGAGAACAAAAAAACAGAGAGAGGGAAACATAGCGAGAACAAACGAGAGAGAGGGAGAGAGAACGAAAGAGAGCCAAAGAGAGGGAGATAGAAAGAGAGAGAGAGAGAGAGGCAGAGAGAGAGAGAGAGTGAGAGGACGAGAAAGAGCGAAGAAGGGACACACACACACACACACACTTACACACATACACACGCACATACGCACGCACGCACGCACGCACGCACGCGCGCGCACACACATACACACAGACGCACACACACACACATACACACACACCGGGTCCCGTTGAGCCTCCCAGACCTCCGAGGGCTTATGCGTATGGCTGGCTTTTCCCACGCCCAATCTTCGAACGTTGCCAGATTTGAAGCCAAGAGCTCCTGCACCGCCTCGCGCGCCCTGCACACGGCGGCCGACAGGCCCCGAGGCTCCAGGTGCTCCCTGGCTGTCCCGCCTCGCCTCTCCGACGTACGACGACTGGCTCCGGCCAGCTGTCGCGAGCGCGCGGGCCCCCGCTGGCGCTCGGACCCCGCCAGAGGATGATGATGATGATGATGATGATGATGATGATGATGAGGAGGAGGAGGAGGAGGAGGAGGAGGCGGGAGAGGAGGAGGAGGAGGAGGAGGAGGAGGAGGAGGAGGAGGCTGCCCCGATACGCGACGCGCGACACGGAGCCCAGCACGCTGATTGCAAACGCAGGCCTGGCGCGATAGTAGCTCGCCAGGACGCGGGCAGGCACGTGCCGAGCCAGCACGCAGCGCGTGGACACGGACGTGCTGCACGCGGAAGGCGCTGCTGCGCTTCTAGGGGGCAAACAGACCTACCTCGCTTTTGACCACCCTCGCTTCCAAGAGATACCAAGCGATGCCAAACTGCGGCCTGTGCTGGTCAGGCCGCTTGACGAGCAGGCGAGTGGTATGACTTGGTTTTGCCTAGAAGCGAAAGCGGGGTAGGTAATTCACGCTCTGAGCTCCAGGACGCGCGCAGCAGAGCAGCTCAGGCAAGGGGCCTTCGAGAGTTGCACGACGCGCTTCGCGGCCAGGCCAGCCAGCGAGTGACGACTGCACGCGCCGCGCCCGTGAGGGGCCCCGACGGGCCCGCGGATCCCTGGGCAGCCCGCCTCGCGCTCTCGGGCGGGGCTCGCTCGAGTGGAGGAGCGGAAGGCCCAGACCTCTGACGCCGTGCTGTTTTCGCAACGTCGACCCCCAGAGGTCTGGATCCCTCCCCCGGGGCCAGTCCTTCCTCCCGAATCGTTCTGCTGACGGCCCCGAGGCCCGGCAGACACCTCCCGCCACGGTTCTTTCACAGCGCGAGGGGCTCTGGGGAGCCGCGTGGAAACGAACGCTCGGAACTCTGGCTCGGCGCTGGGCTGGCGCGCGGAGCGCGCCAGGGGCGGCGCGTCGGAGGCGCCACCAGGTGGGGCGTGCCCAGCACCGATCCAAGGAGAGAGCCGCGCGGAGCTCCGACAATGTGTGTTCATGCGTTTGTGCTCCTCTGTTCTCCTCGACGAAGGGGGCCGTGTGCCTTGCAAAGGTGCGCTACAGTGTGTACAGCATTAAGTCGGGCGCGTCCCCCATACAGGTTTTTTTGATGAGCAATGAGAAACATGTTTAAAGCATGCTGAAAAACTAGCAATGCTCAACACATCGTGCCCAGACTATTTTTGACTATTCGTATTTTTCAATATCCCTCCTGTAGAGGGGCAGGCCCGACTTAAGTATAGCACCGCATCGCAAGACCCGTGGCCTGTCTTCTCGCGGCGGAGATAAGCCGTCGGCGCGTCAGAACGCAACGGAAATGTCACGACAGTCGGACCGCATCCGCGAGCGACAGCAGACGAGGAGGACGAAGACCAGGAGAAGGAGGAGGAGGAGGAGCGAGGAGGAGCGAGGAGCGAGGAGGAGGAGCGAGGGGGAGGAGGAGGAGGAGGAGGAGGAGGAGGAGGAGGAGGAGGAGGAGCGAGGGGGAACGAGGCGAAGGGGCGGGGGCGCTGTGCGGAGAACCCCATCTGGCCCAAACGGCCACTCGGGGGGGGGGGGGAAGCATCGCTCGAGGCAGGAGGTTTTTTGGTCCCTGGGCCCCGCCCGCGCGGCCTCCCACTCCGCCATGTTCGCGAGGGCGCGGCAGCCCTTCCGCTGGACGCCCGTCTCCGCCTGGTTCCTCTTCAGCGCCTGGGCCCGGGCGGCTGGGGCTGCGGGCCGGGCCCGCGGAGGGGAGGGAGGAGGGAGGAGGAGAGTAGTGAATGGTGGCAATGGGCGCCTTAAGGTCTTGAAGGCCTGGGTTGTGGAGGTACAGTCGGGGCCTTGACCTAAGAAACCCTAAAGAAGGAACGAGGCCCCTTTTTTCCATAAGTTGAAAGTCGATTTCCCATCGAAAACTTAAGGAAAACCTGAGGCAAGCTGTGAAACACTCAAGGAACACGGAGCCCCTTCCCAACGAAAATGGTTCCTTCTTCAGCGACCCGACTGTACGCTGGCGCCCCTCCCCACGGCCGTCTTCGTTGGCCGAGGGGCCGTAGGGAGAGCCTCGGCGGAGGAATGATAATAGTAAGAAACGCCCTCTTCCTGGAATACGGGAATACGCCACGCCCGTATACCCTCTTGAAGGACAACTTGCCTGGACAAAGAAACCTGATTGCATGATTGTGAGGGAGAGCGGCGACGCGCGACGATTACAGCAGGCCTCGCCTCCCCAGAGCTCATGCATCTCCCTCTTCTTCTGCAAGCGAGGAGTAACGATAGGACGGAACTGGCACATGGGGGGTGGAACATCGGCCTGGAATCGGCGATACATCGCCGGTATATCGGCGATAGGCCCCCGATGAGGAATCCGCTCGCTCCTGGGCGGGGTGGGTCTATGAGGAACCAATCGGCGGTAATTGTGTGATTAAGGATTGATGTCTTCCCCCCAGAGCCCGTCCCCGTGCCTGGTGGCTCTCGGGCAGTGACTCGGCTCTCCGGCAGCCGTTCGGGACGTGCCTGGCTCGCCCCCTCTCGCTCTCTCGTGTGAGGCGCAGCTGCTGGGAAACACCCCGAGGGCAGAAACCCGCCGAGAACCGACGGAACCGCCCGAAAGCCTCCGGCCTTGAACCTCGGAGCCGAAACTTCCCAGGGATCCGATGTCGTGACTTGTTTCGATGCGCGGCCCCCAGAAGTCTGGACCCATTCCCCAGGGCCCGTTTCTCATCCCGAGGCGTGTCTGGACGGTCCCGAGGCCCGGCGAGGGCCCCTGGGGGCCGAGACTTGAGAAAAAAACTTCCGTCTCGAGTTTTTCAGGGCGCGGGACCTCTGGGCTCCACGGCTCCGACCGCTGCCCCCGCCCGAGCGTTGCGAGGGGGTGCCGAGGCTGAGGAGCGTCCCCCGCGCGCACGGGCCCAGGGCACCGCACGCACGGACGGGCAGGGGGGGGGGGGGCCTCGGCGCCGCGGCCCCCGAGAGGGGCCCCCGCGGAGCACACCCCCGCCTCCTCCTCTTCGGCCCGCTCCACCTGCCTCCTCCACCTCCATTCCCTCCTCCTCCATCCCTCCCTTTCGCCTCCTCCTCCTCCTCCTCCTGCCTCCTCCTCCTCCTCCGTCCTCCTCCTCCGTCCTCCTCCGCCTCCTCCTCCTGCTTCCTCCTCCTCCGCCTCCTCCTCCTCCTGCTTCCTCCTCCTCCGTCCGCCTCCTCCTCCTCCTTCTCCTCCTCCGTGCTCTCATCTTTCTCTTCAACCTCCTCCTCCTCCTCCTCCTTCTCCTCCTCACTATCATCCTCATCCTCCTCCTCTTTCCTGATCGGGGGGCACCGAGCCCTCGCGCTCCGCCCGTGCGCGAGAGCTGCGCACAAGAGTGCCAGCGACGCAGGGCGCCCCAGAGGCCCCAGCTCACGGCCCCCGCTGCTGCGGCACCATTCCTCCCTATACTTCGATTGGGCACGCCCTCCTGCAGGCGGAGTTTGAATGAAGACAACAGATAATGAGACCAGATGCAAAAATAGCCAAACATGGTCGAAAAGTGGCCCCCCTATTGTTTGCTTTGACCCCTTTTGAATACTCCTCCTGTAGAGGGACATGCCCGACTCGGCCATATATACCCCCTCCTCCTCCCCACCGCATGACCCCCCCGTTCGGCGTTCGGCACGCTGGGCCTCGCAGACCACGGTAATGCCCCCTCTCGTGATGATGGCCTCCTGCAGGAACTCCAGCCGCGCGAGGATGGACATCACCTCGCAGCCAGACTCCTGGATGCGGATGTCGTCCACCAGGGCGCGCATCGTCGTGATAACCAGCTCCAGGAGGTCGCCGCACATGTACTGGACGTCGTCTGGCGGGACCGAGCCGTAGCACAGCGCGACGAAGGCCTTGAAGCCATAATAGAGGAGGCCGCTGTCCTCAGAAGACGCGAAAAGGTATCGATGCCGCTACCCTTCCCTCGCTTCCTCCTCTCCAGGCCTCCAGGCAGGCCCTCGTCGGCACGGCTGGACTCGCCTCGAAATTATGGTCAGAACGCACACCGGTACCTTTGGTTTCCCCACGTCCTGGGGAAATTGCATGATCGCGGTCACGACTAGGCTGCAAATGCCAATGTTCACCAGTAGCTGCTTTATGTCCGTATCCAGCGCAGCCACCGCGATGAGCTTCAGAATCTGCTTGACTGCCACCGCGGCACCTGCGTTCAGCATCTGCTGCAGCGAGGAGTAGATGATCTGAACACCGGTCTGCGCCTCGACCCCGCTGCCGACCGAGCATGTCCCGATCTGCGCCTCTCCAGAGCTCGGACAATCCCCCGACTCCAGGCATACCGTTTGACCCGAGGCTTCGTCTGCGAGGCGGGGGTATATCGAAATTGGACTGACTGGGACGAGGGGCAGCAGTCGGCTAGGGGATGGACTACGTCATGGACTTAGCATAAACCTTGGTTGCCACGTCGAGTCTACGAACATCAATCTGTAGGATGCTCTACAGACCTGCAAGATCATACGGATGTTTGTGTTGCAGGCTCGACGAACGAGCTAAGTTTGGAGTAAATCGACGCCATGGAACCCCAGAGGGCGGTGGCTGTGGATCAAAGCTCGGCCCCAGAGCGCCCGAAGATGTCCACTGCCACCGCCTGCCGGAGAGCCCCCGAGCGTCCGTCACCCGGGCGGAGGTCATCAATGAGCCCCCGCCTCTGCTGCATCCCCGCCGCGGATTGCCTCCCCGCCGCCCTCCGCACAACACCTGCTCGAAACTGCACACTGCCTCGAGCAGGCCCCGCCCGAGAGGGCACACGTGGGGCCGCCGCCCTCCGCACATCAACTGCTCGAAACTGCACACTGCCTCGAGCCATCCGCGCCCGAGAGGGCACCCGCTGGGCCCGGCGGCCGCGGCCTGCCACCGTCCGTCGCTGGAGGCACACGCGCGGGGGGACCTGCCGGCACATGCTGGGCCCGGCGGGCGCGGCATGCGCAGGGTGCGCGAGGCGGGACGGGAGCTCCTCCTCCTCCTCCTCCTCCTCCTCCTCCTCTTCCTCCTCCTCCCTCCTGCTTCCTCCTCCTCCTGCTTCCTCCTCCTCCTCCTCCTCCTCCTGCTTCATCCTCTTCCTCCTCCTCTTCCTCCTCCTCCTCCTCCTCATCCTCCCCCTGCTCCTCCTCCTCCTCCTCCTCCTCCTCCTGCCTCCTCCTCCTGCCTCCTCCTCCTCCTCCTCCTCCCCACTTGGTGCTTGCACTTTAGGGGCCCTTATACTTCGCTTCTGAGGCCGCTGCGCTCCCGTGTCGGTCCGGCCGGGCTCGTGGCCGCCCGTCGCCCCGCACTGCTGCTTTTTGGCGTCGCCGTTTGCGTGGCCCGGCGCTGCTCGTTGCACTCGCCATCGCTCGGACGTCCCCTCCCCGTGTTTTTGCCGGTTTCGTGCGTGGTTTTTTCGCCAAATGATCAAGGATGTTCCTCGATGGTCCTCGCCGAAAGAAACATTCACACGTCCGAGCGATGCCAAGTGCGCTGCTCTTTGCGTTGCCTCGCCGCGCTCTGAGCCACGACGCGCTGCTTTTTTTGCACGGCTCTGCTTTTTTTGCACGCGCTGATCGGCATTTTGCTTTGCGCCGTGCTGCATCGGTTGTGCTGCCCTGCATGGCGCTGCTCTGCGCAGCATTCCTCTACATGTTGCGTTGCATGGCTCTGCATGTTGGCTTGCGTTGCTGTGCATCGCATTGTACTGTTTTGCATAGCTGTGCATCGCAAAGCGTTGTTGCGCATCGCATTGCGTCGCATTGCATGGCTTTGCATTGCAATGCCTTGCTCTGCATTGATCTGCAGCGCGTTGCCTTGGTTTGCATTGCGTTGTGCTGCGTTGCATCACGTTGCATCGCACTGCATTGCGTTGCATTGGTTTGTATTGCGATGCATTGCTTTGCATCGCATTGCATCACATTGCTTTGCATGGCTTTGCATCGCATTGCGTTGCCCTGCATCGCTTTGCGTTGTGATGGATTGCTTTGAATTTGAACTGCCTTCCATTGCTGTATCTTTGTTTGAGTTGGATTATCAGCATTGGTTTGCATCGTTTTGCATCGTATTGTATGTGGTGACCTCGGAATCCCCAACGACATCACGCGACGTCCGTCACAGCACAGTTTTGTGACCTCGAAGGCCGCTCGAAACTTCCTCGGAGAACGACCCGAGGCCCAGAATCGCGTGGCCACCTAAAATTCCCACTGAGCCCCGACGAACTGTTTTCCTCAGACCTTCTGGGCCCCCCGCTATTCTTAGCGCCTCCGCGCGCCATCCCTAGGGAAGCCAAGAGGTACCCATACCGCTACTCCATGGACCTCTCCAGGGGTGCGTTCTGATGAGAAGTCCGAAGCAAATCCGGCGGTGCCGACGAGAGCCTCCCTGGAGGCCCAACAAAGGCGGGCGGTATGCGTACCTCTCCCTCCTCTGCTTCTCGGGGGCCCGCTACATTCAGCGCCTCCGGGACCAGGGGCCCGTTTTCTGCTGCGCAGCGCCTTCGCCTCGTCGAGGTCGCACAGGATGGCGAGCGCGGCACAGGCCTGCTCCTGCGTGTGCTGGTCACTGGGGTGGTTGAGCATCGCCGCCAGCAGGACGCTCACGCCGCCGGCGTTGAGCACCAGCGTCTTGCAGGCGTCTGGCCCCGCGAACATCCCCAGGGCATAGCACCTCAGGGAGGCAAATCCTCGGAGGTCTTCGCGGGAACGAGGGAGGGCTGTGGAGCCCGGTTTTAAAGGCCATCGAGCCAGATCAGGCCCGGGATCGAGTTAGAGTAGGCGGGATCGAGGCGGATGATTCATCCGCCTCGATCCCGCTTCATTGAAGCGGGCTTGAGCCGGATTGCGTGAGCGGTATGAAGCTAGATTAGGCCAGTAGTCGACCAGGGGGTGTACCAGCGCCGACTCAGAATGTACTCTCCCAAGAGTTGCATCCTAGAGCACCCGTTCATCTGCACGGATGCCTCCTGGGAGCAGGCCCTCATTGTGTTCATAATGGCCTCCAGGCAGCCCATCTGGATCATGTGGGACACGATCTCGCTCGACATGGCGAGACCCGACAAGATCCGCAGGCCGTGCTCCTGTACTGCGACTTCGTCCGGGAACCGCCTCATCACGTTCAGCACCATCTCCACGCCCTGGAACTGCATGATGGACGGGCGGCACTCCGCATGAGTGGCGAGGTTAGCCAGCAGGTTCAGCCCCTGCGCTACGAGGCCGATGGTGTCCTCGTCGACCTTCCCCGAGGAGGACGCGTGGTTGATCGCGTTGACGACCGCCGGGATCCCCTGCGCATTGAACAGCAGCGACTGGGTCGCGGGGTTGCCGGACGTGAGGATCGCGAGGCAACGAAGCCCGCACTCCTGCACATTGAAATCGCCATTGTAGGCCTTCCAAGGAGGTGTTCACAACGGCCGCCCAACACGGATCAGGCAAAGAGCGGAGCAGAGTCACGATCGAGAGCTCACTGCACCCAGGTGGAGAAGGAGGAAACGGAGCAGCAGGTCGTGAGAAACCGACCAAAATGCCAAGCGCAAAACAAGTGGTCAAATCGCACCGACCGCAATTGCTGGCGACCCGTAAGTCCGCAGGCGGGAACGGTTTAGGTTTTGCATAGGGCCACCCCGTCTTGTTCCGCGAGGACGACTTCCCTGGCTCCATTTCCAAGTCTCCTCCCTGGGTGTCGGGTGTTGCTAGAGTTGCCCCTGGCCCAAGGTGCCCCCAGGATTTCCAAGGAGGCCCCCACGGCCTCCAGAGCACCCCTCGGGAGGCCCAGGTGGCCCCGGGGGCTCAAAAACGGAGGAAAGGCTTGGGGCACCTGGGGCCAGGGGCACCTTGAGCAACCCCCGAGGGTTCCTCCTGGCGCCCCCTCATACCATATCACTGCGCATGAGGGCATGGCATTGCACTGCGCAGCATGGCACGGCATAGCATGGCAGAGCCAGCCACACCGTGGCAGTGGTGGTGAGGGGCTCGCTCTGGGCTTAGGAGCGCGTCGAGGCAAAACGAACCCCGCCAGAGGGCCTTGGAGGCGGCCGGGCCGCATAAACTGGCTGGGACCACAGAAACTCGGTCAGGAGGGGGGATAGAGCCCACACAACTCAAAATCGGTCCCTGGACGCCCTCCTGGGAGCCATCTGGTGCAGTCTTTCCCTTTGGGATCCGCTTTTGACACCCCTGCGGCCCGAAAACGGCCCCCAGAGGCCGAGAACGGCCCCCAGAGGCCGAGAACGGCCTGCCAGAGGCGGAAAGAGACGACACACCTTCCCGAAGCCAGCGCCTCGAACCTCCCCCCTGTCCTGCTGGCCGGAACCGGTGCGGGGCCGCCTCGGCCGATTCCAGTCGCTCTGGGCCCAAATCGGCGAGGACAGTACGCGGCCGCGCCTCCTCTGCGCGAGGATTGAGACGCCAAGCCCAGGGGAGAGCAGTAGCACACGTGTCCAGGGGCGTCGATGGCCCATGCTTTCGACCAGGCCTCTAGGCGAATGCGTGTGTAATGCCCGCCCCTGGGCGGTTCGCCCCCAGTCGTCGCCTCCGATGATGGGCCTGGTTTCCACCGCCACCACCATAAGGTGGAGGAAAAAAGGGGCTCCTCCTCCACCCTCTTCTTCTTCCTCCTCCTCCTCCTCCTCATGCTCCCCCTCCTTCCCCCCTCCAACTAATGGTGATGGCAATGGAAAACAAGCCAATCATCCGAGGCTTGGGCCCGTCGACACCGCTCGCCTGCAGCCCCCTGGTGTGAGCCCCGGCCCGCCCAATTTCCGCTGCCGGCTGGGCGATCTCCCACGGGCCCCCCCTCCCCCGCTGAGGGGGAGCGATGGGGGGGGGGACCCATGGGACGCACAGAGACATACTGACGCTATGTGTCCTCCTCGGAGGCGCGCGTCCGACCCGAACATGTAACATGCCCATATTTTAGTGAATCGCTTCCCGCGCGCCCGCCACGACGCATATACTATACGATGTCTCGGTGCGCGCGTCGCCCGTTGGGGGCGACGCACACATAGTATTAGTATCTTGGGATGGCGCCGAGACCAGTGCATGCTGAACGATCTCTTCCACGACGAGTTCATCTGGAAGAGCGGTCTTCTGGACGAACTCGTCCAGATGACGTTGCCCGGATGAGCTCGTCCCTGGATGCAGTTGTGTGCGGGCGACCTCGTCTCTGATTGAACTCGCCCCCCCGCTGAGGGGGAGCGATGAGCGCTGGTCACGAGCAACAAACATATCCGTACGCATCCGCGCCCTCGCGGTCTGGACTGTGGGGCGCGATCCCGCGGATGCGCGGTCGCGCGGATACGTTGCCCGCGACGCACCCGCGAAGCGACGCCCCGTGCCCGCGGGGTCCTGGCCCGGGGGCCCGGCCCGCGAGGCCGAGGATGCGGACATGCCTTCCGCCCACGACATGAAAGGAGGGGAACTGGAGTGGAACAGATCCGTCATTCGGTGGGAGCCATGAAAATCCCCCCCCCCAAACCAGCATCTGAGAGGGAGCCGATCCGGGAGGATCACGGGCAGCCCGTCGCCTCCATGGTCCGCAGGATGACGGGGATCACCCCGAGGTCGGCGAGCTGGGCCTTGCACTCGTCGTGCCCGGCCAGCTCCGCCAGCATGCCCAGGCCGTGGTAGACCACCTGCGAGTCACCCGCGTGGCACGTCAGGGCCTGGACCGCGGCCTTGAGAGGAGGTCCCAGAGATCCAGCGCACTGAAAAAATCAAGACGGAGGCTTTTCGCAAATTTCGGCCCTCAGGGGCCCTCGCCGGGCCTCGGGGCCGTCAAAAAACGACTCAGGATGAAAAACCGGTGCTGGGTAATGGGTCAAGACTTCCAGGGACCGCGTATTGAAAAAATCACGACATCGGATCTCTTGGGTGTAACGCGCTTCTTCAGCGCTTCGCCGTAACGCACGTGACCGGGAGCGCCCCCTCTGTGCTGGTAACGTCGCGATTCGCGGCGGCGCCGCCTGGGAATGGCTAGGGGTAACTCTCGGACGGCGCCGGCGCAAATCGATCTACGGGCCCCTGCCGCCCTCCTCCCTGGTAACGGCTGCTGTCGTGTAAGGATTAAGACAAAAAGCTGTCTCGTGGCATCAAGGTATCGCACACAGTCGCGCACACACGCACAGGCCCAGGCACAACAAGCACAAATGCAATCATATGTTCTTATCCCTATTCCTACATGTCTGATACCCGGGAGAAGGGTGGAAGAACCCACTCACACGATAAAAACAGAGCTCCCGGATCCCTCGCCCAGAAAGCGCCTCTAGATGCCCTCAAGAAGCTTCCGTGCGGCACCCAAGAGACAGCGAAGGGTTCGCAGAGAAGGGCAAGAACCATAATGATGGGGAGAAAGATGAACAAAGAGAGAATGATGAAAAGGGGGATCACGAGAACAAACGTGGGCACAATTATCCGCAGTTAATTATTGTGTATGTTACGTTGGTTATCCTCTCTCTCTCTCTTGATCCCTTTCCTTCTCCCTCTCCCCCTCTCTCAAACTATCTCGCTCATTTCGCCTGCATGCGTCACTTGAAGGGCCAAGGTGCATGGCGCATCGCAGCCTTCTGTACATATATTGTCGAAACATGTGTGTATTACTGTGTGCGTATGCGTAAGTGTGCCTGCGTGTGTAGGTTCACAGGCTCGCACAGGTTTCGTAACGCCAGCACGTGGATCCAGCCGCATGCCTACCAACAGAAACAAAAAACACAGAATGTGACGCAAGCTCCACCGAAGTTCCCCCCCGTCAAACCCCTGTGCTAGGAGCAAGGACAAGGCGACACCAACACCACCAGGGCGAGGAGATGCTAGGAGCAAGGGGGGTCTCCATGGTGGTGCGGTCCCACCCTCTCGCTCGAGACATCACCTATCTCCAGAGCGGGGAGCCTCGTGGACCTCCTCGGTGCAGGTGGCCCCGGCCCCACTGGCCGATTTACCCCCCTGGATGGGGTTACAGGTCGTTCCCTTCGGGTTTCAAGGGTTGCATCATTAACTGGGGTGGCAATTTGGGGGGGGCCTCGAAGGGGATGGGGATGGGAATGGCGCTTGGTTGAACGATGCCCGAATGAGGCCGGCTGCCCTCGCGGCCGTGTGGTGTTGAGGGCCCATTCCCAGTGCCAGGCCTTCGCGCCCTCCAGCCGGATGATGTCGCCAGCGTACTGGGGGTTAAAGCACAGGGGCTGCAGCGCCGTGAGGGCGTAGCGGTTGACGTTCGGGTCCTGCGTGGGGCCAGGACTGGGTCGGGCATGTCCTCCGACAGTAGGATTTTTTGAAAGAGAGTGGAGAATAGCCAAAAGCACACACACACACACAAAAAACGAATCAACAATTACTTGAAACATCGTCCCAGGATTATTTTTGGACTCTTTTTGGATATCCCTCATGCAGAGGGACATGCCCGACTTAGAGCCAGGAACCCGCGTCGACGTCCGCCAATCCCCCCCTCCCGTCGGCGGGGGGGTGAGCAGGGGGGACAGCGGGGACAAGGGGGTTCACATCCACAGATGCTACCTGCTTACTCCCTGGGGGGCGGTGAAACCCCCAGGGGACTGAAGAGGAGATCATTCAATCCGACCCCGAAGTGGACTCGCGATCTTCCTCATCAAGAGACCCGTGCCGTTGAAGCCCATCACACACCATGGGGCCCGAGGGCCCTCGACCAGAGACACGGTCCCTGACGGCGTGGGGCAGAGAAAGGGACTCCTCCTCCCCCCGACACGACGACCTGGACGACCCAACACCACCTCCCATAGTTGAGGGCGCTGAACTGGCGGCTGCCTGCAAACTCCGCACGTGTGGGGTCTTGGCGCTGCGTCCTGGGGAAAGCTCTGCATGGCGTGGATGAGCGCGTCGATCCCCCCCTTCTGCGCGATGTCCTCGCGCCACTCGGGGGACGAGGCCGCCAGGGCGTGCAGCGCCCAGCAGCCGTACTGCTGAACGCGCGGGTCCATGTTGAACGAGTTCAGATTCTTAACGATGGGCTCGACTGCCCCGAGCCGGTGCAGCTCGGTACAACACTCTGGGTACTGGGCGGCCGAAGCGATGAAGTGGTTCGAGTACTGCTGGATGATGGGGTCATCGGGGAAGTTTTGCATGGCCGTGATGACTGGCTCAAACCCGTTGGTGTGGTGGATCTGGTACATGTTCTCCTGACCGTTGTTGCCCCAGTGCATCAGCAGCCGCAAGCCCTGCTGATTCGTCCACTGGTCCGTGGGGCTGCCCTGCATCGCGGTAATGGCAGGGTCGATGCCCTGACCGTGCTTCTGGATTGTGTCGAAGATCTGCTCGTCGCGCTGAGGCGCGACCTGCTGCAGTAGCGAGAAGCCCTGCATCAGACCCTGCGGGAGGGAGGGAGGCAGAAAGACATATCAGATGGAGGCATGCCGAAATAATTGCATGCCTTTGGTGAATTCCTCCCTTCCCCCACCCATCATTCAGAATGCTCCTCATCATTCCCGCATTCGTTGTATTTCGTTCGTTCCTGGCCTGCCCCTGCTGGCGCAGACTCGAGATCTGGTCGTTCAGCCGGGTCACCTGCTGGTCGTAATTCTGCAGCGTCTGGGTATAGTAACCCGCAACCGCGCCCACGCTGGCTTCGGGGAGGTGAACCTCGTATATGGGGCCGTCTCCCTGCGCATGGACAGATCGAAAAATCAGAGGGCTCCGCAAGAGGGGCCCTGTGCTCCCCAGGGTGGCAAAGAGATGGCCGGTCGTCGGGAGTGTGTGGGGCCGCGCAGCAACTGCCGCCAGCCCGCGCCCGCAAGGCCCGCCCCTCCCGCGGGGGGGGGGGACCGGATCGCAAAGGACTTCGTTGCGTGCGTGGTGCAAGCGTTCGTGTCCCGGCCGCCCTCCTCCCCGCCCCCCTCCCCTGCCGCGGGGCTCTCTCGCCCCGTCTGTGAGACCAGGTGCCCCGGCCGCCCTCCTCCCCTCCCCCCTCCTCTGCCGACGGGCTCTCGGCCTGTCAGCAGCAACCATAAAAAGTATCCTGGCCGCGTGGCCGATGGCGTCGTGCCCTGGGCTCGGGTGCAGCGGCTGCCTGCCCCTCCTCGGGGCCGCCCTCCTCCCCTCCCCCCTCCTCTGCCGAAGGGCCCTCGGCCTGTCAGCAGCAGCCATCAAAAGAGTATCCCGGCCGCGTGGCCGATGGCGTCGTGCCCTGGGCTCGGGAGCAGCGGCTGCCTGCCCCTCCTCGGGGGCCTGCTCTCGGCGGCTGTGCGGCTGTGCCGCAGGGCCCTCGGCGCGCCCACCGGGGGGGGGGGCCCACGTGTCGCCCGCCCCTTGGGGCGAAGCAAACCGGCACACCCGAGCGTGAGCGCGCGCACTCGTCAGCGCCACCGCGGGATTCCGAGTGCGCAGGGCCTACTCAGTTCGGAGTCGAAGCTGGGAATGCCGTGTTCGCGTTTTGCCCCCCCCCCCCCCCCCCCCTTCCCCCCCCTACCCCTCCCCCTTTCAGGAATTCCCGCCACAGCATCGCAGACGGGGGTCCCTCTCCCCCCCTCCCCGCGGCGAAGACCGTCATTACCCCTCGCCGGTGAGGTCCGTCAAGAAGCCGCAAACCCGCGCAGCTTCCGCTCATGGGGCTGCCTGGGCCCCCCTTACAAGTCAACCTTCACTCCTGCTGTTCAACTGGCGGAGGAGGGGGCCGAGCCCCCCCTTTGCGGTCCCTCGTCCAGCGAAGACGGCCGTCGGGGGGTGACCCGTACCTCCACCTCAAAGCACGCGTGCCACCCACCACCTGCCCTGGCTGGCTACAGGCCAAGAGCTGCACGCGGGCCGCCCCCCCCCCTGGAGTGGACCCAAAACCTGGCCGCAGCCCCTCGACGGCTGAGGGGACGGGGAGGGAAGCAAGGGGACAGGGGAGGGAGGGATGGGAGGGGAGGGAGGGAAGGGGGAGGGCAGGGAGGGAGGGGAGGAGGAGGGGAGGGGAGGTGGGGAGGGAGGGATGGAGGGGGAGGGGAGGGGGAGGAGGGGAGGGGGGAGGGCAGGGATGGGAGGGGCGTCAGTTGCCACCCACCACGTCTGCTCCCCCGAGGTGGCTCGGGAACGGTCCGTCGGCGGCCAGCGCCCAAGAACTCCTCCGACGGCTCTGGGGGCCCTCCCACGCTGCGCCCCCACGGCTGAGGAGGGGGGGGGGGGGGGCACGATGGGGGCGAAAGCTGTGCACCCACACGGATCCTGGCTAGTCCTCCTCCTGCAGCTCCTCCTCCACCTTCTCCTCCTGCAGCCCCTCCTCCTCCTCCCCTCCTCTCCTCCTCCTCCCCTCCTCCTCCTCCTCCTCCTCCTCCTCCCCTCCTCCCCTCCCTCCTCCTCCTCCTCCTCCTCCTCCTCCTCCTCCTCCTCCTCCCTCCTCCTCCTCCCTTCTTGTTATTCTTATGTTTCTCCTTCTCCTTCTTAGTACTATTATTGTTATCATTATTATTATGCTTCTTCTTCTTCCTCCTCCTCCTCCTCCCTCCTCCTCCTTCCTCCTCCTCCTCCTCCTCCTCCTCCTCCTCCTCCGCCTCCCCATCCGCCTCTGCCTCCTCCTCCTCATCCTCCTCCCCCTCCCCTCCTCCTCCTCCTCCCCTCCTCCTTCCTCCTCCTCCTCCTCCTGCTCCTCCTCTTTCTCCTCCTCCTCCCCTTCGTCCTCCCCCTTCTCCTCCACCTCCTGCCCCATCCGTCCTCCCCCTTCTCTCCTACAAAGGGGTCCAGGGACATAAAAACAAATACATACAAACCCCAAGATTCACCCTATATTCCCAAATCTTCCCTAGTTATCCTGGGAATCCACGATTGATTGTGTCTGTGTGTGTGTTTCGCCTCCCGGATCCGCTATCGGTGGTCCTGGGGATCGGCAGCGAGCCCCGGAGAGGCCGGCACCCCGAGATTGGCAACAAAAGCACACCGGTGGAGCTCTGGGATCCTGGGCCAAGATCGGTGTCTCTACGCTTGGGTCGGGCATGTCGCCCTACAGGCGGATCTTGGACGAAAACTAAAACATACCCCAGAAATCATCAAAAACCAGAGCCTACCTTTGTAGCATAGGCGATCACACCCATTGCCGGCCCCGCCCCCCCCTCCTCCTCCTCCTCCTCCCCTCCTCCTCCTCCTCCTCCTCCTCCTCCTCCTCCTCCCCCTCCTCCTCCTCCTCCCCTCCTCCTCCTCCTCCTCCTCCTCCTCCTCCTCCTCCTCCTCCTCCCTCCTCCTCCTCTCCTCCTCCTCCTCCTCCTCCTCCTCCTCCTCCTCCTCCTCCTCCTCCTCCTCCTCCCTCCTCCTCCTCCTCCTCCTCCTCCTCCCCCCACCCTCGCACCCCCCATGGTCACGTCACGATTCGCGCCAGCGCCGCCTGGAATGTAATCCTTCCTGGGCAGTCCCGAACGGCGCCGGCGCGAATCGAGACGCGGCTGGCCCCGCCCCCGCTCCTGCCACGCCTGTTCGCACCAGGGGGTAAAGTGACTGCCTCAGGTTGGATACAGATACAGAAGGGGCGTTGACCTAAGGAACCCTAAAAAAGGAACGAGGCCTCTTTTTCCCATAAGTTTAACTTCGATTTCCCATCGAAGCCCTAAGCAAAACCAAAGGCGAACTGCAAAACAACTAAGGAACACCGAGCCCCTCCCCAACGAAAAGGGTTTTTTTTCTCAGTGCCCCGACTGTAGATGCCGTGTCCTGCACCAGACAAGGGAGAAGGAAACCCGGGACCCGAACTGGCGCTCAAGCCTCCTCCTGGACTCAAGAAGCCGGATCCCGGAAAAATCGTCACAACCTCCCAACAGGAGCTCAGGCCCTGTTAGCCCCCAGCTTGGATCAGCAGCCCTCGAACTCGAGTACAGGGATGTGGTGGATGGGGGCGCTGTGGCTCAAGGGAAGAGAAGGCGTGCCGCTCGCGCCGTTGCTGCAAACCCAAGACTCCGAAACGCCGTTCCATGTTCTGGGGACGGACCGCCGGACCGAACCGAATTCAATGTTCCCCCAGAGGCCACATCATACGAGGCAGTAGGCGTGGTCTGGTTCAAACCTGCGCGTGCACGCGCAGGCCATCGGCAACGCACCCAGCTGTCCCAGGAGGCCACCCCTAGGGACCAACGCGGGAGTGGGAAGAACGATTCTCGGATCGGCACCAAACCCTGGGCCAGATCGAGCCTGGGCACGAGGACCCTTGAAGGCGGCACGGGCCGCCGGGTGCCATGCAGTTGTAGAGGCCTCCCAGATGGGGTCCGAGCAGATGGGGTCGGAGGGTCGCGCCGCATCGCCGAGACGTCGGCGATGCATCGGCGATGCATCGGCGATGCACCAGCGACGCACCGGCGATGCACCAGCGATGCATCGGCGACGTCGACGTGAAGCAAAACGGGTCCCACATCAAGCCGCATCGGCGATGCATCGGCGATGCGGCGCGACCCTCCGACACCATCTCCTCGGGAGGAGCAGGATGAGGAGGAAGATGAGGAGGAGGAGGAGGAGAGGGAGGAGGAGGAGGAGGAGGAGGAGGAGGAGGAGGAGGAGGAGGAGGAA